TGGCATTCTTTTCATTAAGTTTCTAGATATTTGTAGTACTTTATATCATTAAATAATATCTACATTTTTAGGATAAAACAACTCCCTCTTTTTTTATGAAAAAACTATGCAAGCAACATGGATGGATCATTTTTTATGGTGTGTATGGTGATTACAATTGACGAAGTAGATAAGCTTATGTGAAAAGAAACTATAAATAGTAAAGTACACCACCGGTCCTTAAAGTTGAGGTGTGGTGTCACTTAGGTCCACGATCTTGTAAATCCAACATTTGGGTCCATAATCATATTTTACTATACCATCCAAGTCCAAATCTTGTTTGACTAGGTTTGACCACCGACGTGGCAGTCCGGCGTGGTTGCATCTGTGCGTTTACCCCCTTCATGACCCCATCGACCCCCTGTCTTTGAGCCGACAAGAACGACAACCAGACTCTACAAGAATGGAGCCAAGCAATTCGCGTCTATTCATACATCTTCTCCCCAGCAATGTACGTTTGCTCTCGGCTCACCGCGAAGTCCAACCGGAACCTCTTCGGCGCAATCTCTTTCATCCGTTTAATGTCTAGAGCAGTGTGTTGCTCATCATGGGCCCCGGCAAAGCCAGCAAGTCCACCCTACTCGAGATCCTCACTACCCGCCTCCATCCCTTATTGCCTCCCGACCAGCTTGTCAGTGACGCCCCACCACCAGCGCTGACCTACACCGCATCTTCGGCTACCCAGCACGACGTCCTCTTCCCGCTGCTCATCGTGTGCAAGATGCTACACTTCAACAGCCACCTCTGCCTTGGCACATGTGTCTCTCCCAATGGCCTTGCACAATGCCTATGTCTTACCCTTGCCGATGCCGCCACCAGCGGTGACCGGGGGAGACGGGCTCACGAAGGGGGTAAATGCAAAAATACGGCCACGCTGTACTGCCATATTTGCACTCAAACCTAGTCAGGCGAGCTTTTCGACCTGAATGGTGCATTTACGGACCCAAATATTGGATTTACAAGATCGTGGACCTAAGTGACACCACGCCTCAAGTTTAAGTACCGACGGTGTACTTTACTCAAATATAAAAAACTATATATTGTTGGCCACGATGTATTGACGCTGGACTCATTGCTGGGGCATGCCTTTGTGAATTGTTGACCTTGCCCATGACTTCATCGACCTTCACCCTTCTTGTGCTGGTGCTTCTTCTTATTGTTGTTGTTCCTCTTCTTATTGTGGTTCGTGTATATGCTTCTTTTGTGCTTTTGGGCACACCATGAAGGTAGGGACCCACTGCAGCATCGGAAGATGATGTCAGCTTGCTTTAGCAGGATGCTAATGGTGAGGAGAAATAATGAGCAAATAAATTTTCAAGAGATTAGTATTGAATTGATACTTCCACACACCACTCACGTGGGTGAAGAAGTGGACAGCAATTTTAATTTTAGTTAATGCCAACCATGATTTTATTTTTGGCACATCGTGCATGCTCAATAATGATAGTCCATTATGTCCTAGATGTCCTAGTCAAGATACATGAAGCCAATGTCATAAAGTAGTCATGGTTAGTGCAACCATGCATAAGGTAATAATAGTTGATCTAGCGGACTGAATAGGGTGTTGATGATGAAGATATGATGATGAAAGAAAGGCAAATAATGTCGTGGGCAGATGTAAGGCACCATGGAGTTGTCACCAAAATACGCAATGGCGTCGTGAAACTGCAGTGGATAAAGACATGCCATCGATGAAGATAGTGACATGATCAACAAAACATCCAAAGCAACCAGGCCCAATAGACAATAATAGACCAAGACAAAATCTAGCACTTCACCCTAGCCAAGTGTCAACTGAGTTACACCGTCATAGATGTAGCACACACCAGAGCTGTGGAAACATCTGATTGTTATATTATGTTGTATTACATCGATCCTCTCATGGGGTATATGTCGGAGTACATAGGGGATAGAGACTTGGAGTACAATACAACTAAGAGTATATTTATCTCTAGGATTCTATCTCTAGGACTCTATCTTATCTCTAGGATTATATCTTATCTCTATAATTTGTATCTGACTCTTATCTCTAACCGACATATCTATACTTCTAACATTCCCCCTCGGTTGTAACGGGAGCGAAGCGAACGATTGCGACTGGATTCGAAATCTTCTATTCCTTCATCTTCTTCCACTCACCATCATCGATTGCATCTCTGATGAACGGTCCTCCACCTGGTGGCAGTGCGATAGCTGTTGAGGAGGTGCGGGGAAGGAGGGAGGATGTCTGGCAGGGAGCACGGCACACTTTGCGATGTCTAGTTTTCAAATTTCCTCCACTGTACTCTGGCCGAGTTTAATTCCAAACTTTTTCTTCAAACTTTCAACTTTTCCATCACATCAAAACTTTCCTACACACACAAACTTCCATCTTTTCCATCACATTGTTTCAATTTCAACCAAACTTCTAATTTTAGCGTGAACTAAACACACCCAGAACTACTAGGTTTGCCAGAGCAGCAGAGGACTTGAGTAGGGCCAATACTGTTTCGACAAGGTAGAAGCAGGTTTCACACTATTGAAAACCACGTAACTTTTTGTGAATTTTGGGATTTTTGGTACTTTTTTGCACGAAACTATTTAAAATTTTAATAAATTTTGACTAAATTTGAATATATTTTGGCCAAATTCACAAAATTTTGGAAAATTCCAAAAATTTTGGCTGAGATAGTTGATTGCTGTGGAGAGGGGGACCGAAATTTCAATCCTTGATAGGAGACTACTGTAGAACTTGTGCTACTATTGGAGAGGATGGACAATTGCATTGAAGGAATGACGTAAAGGGTGAGGTGCACGGATTGCATGTGGTTGGTGAAGATTTCATATGACATACGATGGAAATATTGTGTGTGTATGGGCGCGGAGTCAAATTTGGAGGGAGTCTAAATTTGGTATAATTGGTGTTTGTAAAAAGTTTGTTTCTTGTACGGAAAGGTTTCCTAGGGGATTAGCACTACTGGAGAAGTGATCTTTGTTGGGATTGAAAAAATCACATTAGTCCCGGTTTAAATAGGAACCGGGACTAAAGAAGTTCTTTACCCCGGTTTAAAAGCCCAACGACACTTTATGATCTTTAGTCCCGGTTGGTAACACCAACCAGGAGCAAAGATCAATTTTAGTCCCAATTCAAAAAGTGTCAGGCCCCTGTCTGTTAGCAACCGGAACTAAAGATCGACGCGTCGTATATAATCCCTCGCACTTATCCTCTCCTCCTCCTCGTAAACCCTGTCCTCATCTTTTCCTCCTCCCTTTCCTCCTCTCTCCTCTCTCTCTTTCTCTTCCCTCTTGCTGTATCCATCCATCCATCCATCCATCCATCTGAAAGCATTTCTCTCTCTCCTCTCTCTCTCTTTCTCTTCCCTCTTGCTGTATCCATCCATCCATCCATCCATCTGAAAGCATTTCCCCTCGGCCACATCCATCCATCTATCTCACCGCGCGAGCGGGCAGCAGAGCGAGGAAGCTGGCGAGCAGGCGGAGTGAGCAAGGAAGCCGGCGAGCGGCGCACGAGGAGGTGGTGGGTGACGGCAGCGCACGAGGAGACGGCGGGACGGGATTCAGCAGGCAGCGGCGCCCTCTCCTCCGCTGGATCTGGCGGGAGGGGAGGAGATAGGAGGCGGTAGGTGGCGGTGGGCGGGCGGCAGCGGGCTTGGTCCCGAATCGCCGCCAAGTTTTGAGCAGGGGCTGAATCACTTGTGGTGAATTACGCTGGATTTGCGTGAGATGGTGAATTGAGAGGTCTCGGATTTAGAGCTTGCTGCTTACTCAAACCATAATGGTACCAAAGTTTGTATTTGCGCATTTGTTTAGCTACAGTTCATACTAAGCATAAACTTGTTCCTTAGCCGTGAGCCTTTGATTTTTTTTTGTGTCAATTTGTGATGTACATTCGATCTGTAAATTTGTGATGTCAATTTGATTTGTGATGTTCATTCGATTTATTAATTTGTGATGTTAGTGAGTTTGGCTCAAAATCAATATGCAAACAGCAAAAAACAATGAAAAAAAAGAAAAAAAAACTTTTGTCCCTATTGGTTACATCACTGGGACTAAATATTGAAATAACCGGGATCCCGGATTGGGCATCCCGGTTGCATACCCGGGATCAAATAGGGTTGCGAACCATAACTAAAAACGGATTCCCCAGCAGTGGGACTTTTTTACTAGTTTGGTTCGTGGCTTTAGGCTGCCTACCTCAAGTATATATAGGTATATATAGAGAGGGAGGTCGTGGTCTCCCGATATTGATTTTGAGAGAGCCAAGTTTATAGAAAAGTTAGGGTTTGAATCTACATCGATAGATCTTCGATTTGTGTTTGCTCAGGTTCGGCGGTCTAACCGACTAGACACCGGCGGTCAAACCGGCGGGAATATCGCAGTCAGACCTACGGCGGCGACAGGCGACAACGGCGTATTAAGCGATCAGACCAGAGCTACTACGTCAGTCAGACTAGAGATCATTGTGTGGTCAGACCGGCGCATTTACTCCAGTCATCATCGAATTCGTAATTTTCAATTCCACTAAAAGTTTTGGTTTTTGGGTACTACAACCATTCAATCTCCTCTGGTTGGCTTGGTTCTTGCTTTTTGGTCCTACAGAAACAAATTTGTACATAGGATATGCTCTAAACCTCTAGAAGTCTGCTTCAGGTTTCCTCTCTGTGAGCAAGCATATGCTCAGTTCCAAACTCTTCAAGTCAAAATTAATTTTTGTCAGCTTCTGGATTCAAAAGGGGACAAATGGAGTTACATGTGGAACTCTGCGAGTTATCCTTCATAGAAAATTTACAAGATCATTTTATTCTAGGAATCACCTCTCCCAGGCCATATATGTGGCTATGGAAAACAAAAGGTGTCATGAAAATCAAGGTTTATGCATATAAAGATTTGGCTTTCCATATAAAGATCATAATCACTTGATAGTACAGTGGCAATGGGTGTGTGGTTTCAACCTGAGTCCGGAGACAATGTTTGGAGGGATACCTCTCCCTCCAATATTTTTTTCACAATCCACTAAGTTTTCACTGCAACAGTGTTTTAAATTGCATTCCCAAGCTCAACAATAGTAGTTGCGATAAACGATCAGCCCAATGAATTACTTTTTACTAGTTAAAAACATGTCTGCCATGTTGCTAAAATGTTCCGTGCAAGAACTTAGGGGCCTTTCTGACCTTGGTAGCTTGCTCAAATGCATAAGCCATCTCAATTAGCCTCGGCTCATAGCCCTTCAATCCACCAAAGCAAATTCCGAAGGGGACTCCCATCTTACCGTATCCAGCTGGTACGGTGATTGCCGGCATGCCGCCAATGGCGAGAACAGTGGAAACTAGGTCATTGGGAGTGATAATTGCATCAAGCTGCTCATCCTGCATCAGCTTCTCCAGTCCGTCAGCTGAAAGCTCGTTTAGTTGACGGATCACAGCTCCCTCGAGTGCACCGATGCCAGTAGTATTCTCAGCTACCAGGAAGATGAGCTGCCCAAAATTCTTTAGCCTCTCCTGTTATACACATTTTTGGCAATATCATTTAGCTAGCTGTTCTGACTGTTTTTTTAATTTTAAGCTGATTACATTACATACAAAGATTCATAATCTTCAACAAAATAAGATGTGCAATATACTATGGTGATATTAACTTCATAATCTGCAACAACATGAATATACCTTGATGCACAAAGAGTTTGGTATACAAGAGTAGTGGTGCTAATTATCAGTTTTATGTATTCGGGATATTTGATTTTTTATTTTTGTATTTTTCATCTTAGACCTCATTGATAATTGATAGTGTCAATCCAAAAGAGAATTTTCTAATCATGTGTCATCTGAAAATACTATGAAATTGGATGTGATAATTCTGTTGAAAATTCTATGCATGGTTTAGGTATGCCCCTAGAAAATGCCTCTAGAAAAATGTATACATGATTTTATATACGTTACTAAAGGTTGAACAAGTTGATTAAGTGTATCCTGAGATATCATTTTTTTTCCGAAGTCTCGTTATATAATATATAAGGTAGTAAAGTAAATATGTACATTTTCTTCAGATTTGCAGAAAACAAAAAAAAATTCTAGCAAGATATGTGCAATGTGGAACTGTGAGAGAATCAACACCAGAAGGTTAATTAGGAGCTACACAGCTGACCTCAATCGGATGTGCGTTGTTGAAAGCAATTATATCTGCAAGTGAACGAACTGGGGAGTAGGATAAGTCTGACAGATAAGTGTTAAGGCTTGACTTGAACTCTGCTGCTAACACAATCTGTTCCCCATTGTTAAGGACATCTTGTATAACAGCCAAGTTTGCTATGTCTAGGTTCTCAATCACAACCGCTCCTTGTTTCCTTCAAAGAATGATGTAAAAGTCAAATATCTAGGAAACTGACTTTTCTCTATCGCCATATATATATTTATAAATTGGAAGGCATATGACCTAAACTGGTTGATAATGCACATCATGCCACACCATATCTGTTGGCCTATACGTGCGATAATATAGAATACGGATGTTCCATAAAGTCCAATATATATTCATTACAGTAAATTTCACAAAAATTACACCTTCTTTGCATGCAATAAAAAAAATACACATTTCAATTTACTTCCAAATAAAGCACACATTTGTTTCTGACATTTGCAGTAACTAAATATTATTTGATTGCAGATATATAAGTTTGATGGAATACACAGCAACCGGCTAGTGGAAAATTGTGGTTTCCAGATGCTTTAATCACAACTTCGTAAATTTAATTAATATAAAAACAGCTGAAAGGGGACATTCCAACTGTAACTAAATATATGCCAAAATTTCCTCATATTGAAATCAGGGAGGCACATATCCGAATTATTGTGCAAGTTATAATTGTTTATATGTTTACATGAGAATAACTTGGAATATGGAAGAGTAATTGGGAACGTAGTCAATAATTTAGCTTATGTACCAACTTTTTTTCAGTGATTTCTCTAAAGGAACTTTATAAACTATGGTAAATAAATTCGTGCCAAGTATGTAATGTAAGCGGAAACAGAAAATAAAAACTTAGCTATGTACTATGTTTTGCATGCAGGTAAATCATGCCTAAATTTTGGCATTTTAAATCATATTTCATATTGATGAGGGCAAGTCATGCATACGTTTTGATTTACAGGAAACAAAAGGAAGCACCTTGTAAAATGATTGCATGTTCATAGTATAAACTTGCAACATATATATAATTTGATGGGAATTAATAATAAATGCGTGATTTTTATTTCTGTAAAATGCAATTTGAAATGTCAATTTTTCTTCTATTCTGCCAACGTATATAATTTTGTGAAAATTCCTGTAATTGCATACCTCACTGTGTCGAGAAGTTGCTGGTAAACAATCTGTTGCACTGTCCCATTTGGGAAGTTGAAAAATCCATTTGGGATGCCTATTCTCTTGCCTTTTAATCCATCAGGCTTCAAAAACTGCCTATATCCACCCGGTGGGATGTACTTTGATGCTGCCCGTGTGGCTTTTGCGTCACGGCTGTCGTAGCCAACAATCGCATCCAGCACGTGGACGGCATCTGTTACTGTCCGACAAATTGGCCTGCATTTGAATTGACGGGATTCATCCAAGGAATTTCATCACTTTACAGTATGATCATTTTCATCCATTCGTTATGTCCGATTGACATATTTTAGAACAGTAGATTCAGTATTCCCCGGACTATATATTTAATGACATTAAAAATATTTTCTAATTAAATTTGTTTGCCGGACCCATCGTTTTCGCTTATTGGAGGAATAAGCGAAACGGTATATTTGCAAACGAAAAATATTTTGTAAATAAAACTTTTATATACGTGTTATTAGTGATCTAAGAACAAAAGCTGAAAAATAAACTTCGATGAAAAACCCCAAAATCAACTCCAAATTTAAGGTCGAAATTCAATTTTTAGCTTATAAGCATAAGCGAAAAGATGAGACCCGCATCTTTGAATTTTCTGAATTGAAAACATCCTCATCTTCCATACTATCATGATTCTTCATACAAGGACATTGTTGTGATGAAGTTTAGCATCAACTATGCAAGTTAGGTTGTAAATAAAGGTCTCTAGCCATTCCTAAAATGGATGATATTATTTGGCAATTGGCAAACTGAGGCTGTGTTTAGTTCCATGACAAAATTAGAAGTTTGAAGAAATTGCAACAATGTGACGGAAAAGTTGGAAGTTTGTGTGTGTAGGAAAGTTCGATGTGACGGAAAAGTTAAAAGTTTGAAGAAAAAAGTTGGAATCTAAACAGGGCCTGAACTACATAACCAGTTGGAGACTTAGCGAGCCATGTAGACCATAAACAATTTGAAAAAAAAGAGTAATAACATAATAACAAAGAGAAAAAACCTTGATTATAAAGGTATGTTATTATGAAAGTTAAGTCATGGTTATAAATTTGACAACTAGTGTCAATCAAAGAACTACAGTCTACGGACAGCAAAATAGGACAATGCCATCACAAACATCCATTATATTATATTATAGAGTAAAGTTCATCACCGGTCCCTAAACTTGTACCGCTGTGTTATTCCGGTCCCTAAACTCGCAAATCGACCGTTCAGATCCTCAAACTTATTCGACTGTGTCATCCCGATCCCTAAACTTGCAGATCACTTGTTTAGGTCCTCCAACTTGTTCAGTTGTGTCACCCTGGCCCTAAACAGGACGGTCTAAAAACTTTATATCAAAAAATAATTCATGACTTTTTCATGTGAACTCTAATGAAGACAAACTTTATATCAAAATTGTAGCCCTCGATGCGACCTACAACTTTGTAATTGAAAAGTTTTTGAATTAAAACTGTTTAGGGTCCCAAAATATTGTTGCATGTTTATAGATTTTGAAATTTTAATTTTAAAATTACATTTTGGGACAAAAAATGACTTAAAATAAAAAAATTCAACTACAAAGTTGTAGATCGCGTCGAGGGCTACATGTTTGATATAAAGTTTGTCTTTATTAGAGTTCACAGGAAAAAGTTATGAATTATTTTTAAATATAAAGTCTTTAGACCGTCCTATTTGACCCAGATGATATTCAAATACAAGTTCAGGGACCAGGGTGACACAACTGAACAAGTTGGAGGACCTAAACGAGTGATCTGCAAGTTTAGGGACCGAAATGACACAGTCAAACAAGTTTGAGGACCTGAACGGTCGATTTGCGAGTTTAGGGACCGGGATGACACAGCGGTAAGTTTAGGGACCGGTGATGGACTTTACTCTATATTATATTATAGAAAAAATGACACTGCCTACATAACTAGGGGAAATAAGGATTCATGCGAAAAAATTTTTGTGTTAACAACGAATCATCCAATTTCTATTGCCATCACATTTTCCATCGGAAGATTATAAAAGTTTCATATTAATCATGCCCTTCTTTTTTTTTCTTTTCTTAATTTTTTTAACCTTAGCAGGCCTTTACAGTATAAGTATAGCATCCAAAAATCTGACGACTTATTTAGATCAGCTTCCCAGATTTTTTTTTGTATTTTGAAAAATAAAACAAGTAGGAAAAATCACAATATCAAGCAAATTAATAAAAATGACCATAGAAACTAATTCAATATAATACATATAAAATTGTTTCGAAGTAAATATTTGAAGTCCATCTCTGAATTTTTATGAAATGTTTGGACTTCATTTGATTTATGTCGTGTGCCATTTAGTCCATGCCCATGTTGGGGAAGAAATAACGGGTAAACCGTCATTTTCTATATTTTCTCACTAGATTGATGTGGACCTCAGGATGGGAAACATATTGACATAGCTAGTTGTATTTTCCGTATTTTTCAACATTTCGAATAACATTTTGCTGTACATGATATTTTCTGATGGCATTTGTTAAGTAATTTACTCGAAGTATCTGTTATGTATAAACATCCTTCATTGACTTGTCAGTATCGAGTTTACTAAGCCAATTGTCCAATTGGCACATTAAGAAAATAAAATAAAGTGTACTTTGGATCTCGTGCAATCACAAGAAAACAACTGGATAGTGACAGTAAAAAAACATCAACCATCGGTACGGGCTAAATAAGTAATGCATGTATTAGTCTCGGTTCTAATAAGTAGCTGTTATTTTTTATTTACACGTAAAACGAGCTAAGACAGGCACACGATTAATTGATTATCAATAATTATGAACTTAAAAATTAAATTTATTCGATTTCTTTGGAAACATTACTAAATAAAATGTTTTTTTCCTAAAAAAATACACTATTTAACTGTTTGGTAAATGGGTATACAGAAATAAGAAATTTGTAACTGCCGAACGAGGAAACAATCGAGGCCTTAGCTTACCCGATAGTGTCCTGCCTAGGGGAGATAGGAACAACACCAGCCCTGCTTGTCAATCCAACCGTTGGTTTGATCCCAACCACTGAATTCAACGACGATGGGCAGAGTATGGATCCATCGGTTTCGGTCCCTAGTGTCACGGCCGCCATGTTCGCTGCAGCTGCAATGGCTGATCCTGTGCTTGAACCGCATGGAGCAGCTGATAGAACATATGGATTCTACATATACATGCCAAATATTTACTAATGTACAGTATATGCCATATATAATTGCTTGAGTTTTGAATAATTTTGCAACACAAAAATATGCTTTCCTGTCTGAAAAATACAAAGGTGATAAGTGATAAACCCAGTGACGACCTTACAGAATTCACACTAAATTTTAGTGTGGATTATGTTTCGACAAGCTACAAAAGAATTTGCAGAATTGCATTGATGGTTATTTTCCTAAAAGAATTCTCCAAGAACTTGGCATGGAATATACAAGCTAATTTTTTGAACTAAAGAGATCGATATTCAGCATTGACTTTTGTGATGGAGAAACCAATGGCGAAGTTAGCGAGTGAGAGGAGGTAGCTTAGCCTTACCCGGCTTTGGCCACCGCGAGCGCTCCAGCCACCGGTGCCTTGGATGGTGCGGAAGTTGGCCCACTCGTCGAGGTTGGCCTTGCCGAGCACCACCGCGCCGGCTCGCCGGAGCCGCCGCACCACGCCGGCGTCCCGCCTGACGACGGAGCCCAGCAGCGCCAGCGACCCGGCCGTCGTGTTGAGCCGGTCGCGCGTCGCGATGCTGTCCTTGAGGAGCACGGGGACGCCGTGGAGCCCGCCGCAGCAGCTGCCCGACGACGACGACGACGGCGACGCCGCGCGCCGCCTGCGCGAGCGCGTCGGGGTTGACCTCGATGACGGCGTGGAGGAGCGGGTTGAGGCGGGCGATGCGGTCGAGGTAGAAGAACACGAGCTGCCTGGAGGTGAGGCTGCCGTTGTTGAAGCCGAGCTGGATGTCGTCGACGGTGGCCTCCTCGATCTGGAACACTCGGCAACCGTCGGCGGCGGCGTGGACGAGCACGACGGCGGCGAGAAGCAGCAGCTGCAGACGGCGGCGAGACATCCTGTGGTGAGTGTTAACGTGGGTGTTGTTGGAGCGTCCGCTCGCTAGTTATGCACAGCACAGTAGGATCGGTGATCCTCAACTTTTGGGGGGCAACCAACGATAAATGGCGAGACAACAGAATGGATAATATTTACTCCTATTAAATTGATCATCATTTAAGTTTATGCACTAAAATCATAGATAATTTACATCAAATTAAAACAATAAAACTCCATGCCAATTACACCTTAGCATGCGCATATTCTCCCATGCTGCATTAATTGTATTCCAGTGAAATCCGTGTCCATACAGTTATATGATGATTAATTTGGAAAATTTTAGATTCTATTACGTGATGATCAATTTGGTAAGGAGGGAGTAGTATGATACATGCATTTGGGGTTAGTTACCAAAAATTTCGGTGCTGTTAATAACTTAATATTTTAGCTAGGACAAACAATAGACCGTGAATATAATTGGTAAAATCTTGGATCCAAACCAAAACCATCCACCAAAATTTAGGCATTGCAAAAATTCCAGTTTACCAATTTATTTAAGCGAGATTTAAAATAAAAATAATTCAAACAAGCTAATAAAACCTTTTTTCCATTCCAATTCAACCAAGAGATTCCTCAAATACCAATCCTAAAAAGAGATTTGATAAATTACCACTCTCAATTTAAGACTACTAGGAAGAAATTGTCCCTTCACTCGTTTGGTTATTATCGGTTTGACTCTTAATTTAAGACTACTGGGACGAAATTGTCCCTTCACTCGTTTGATTCTTACCAGTGTGGTGTGATTGGAGATGAGGAGTGTATGAGGCGAGGTGTCGCTGCTTGTTGTCCTTGTCTTTAGCGATGGCCGAACAACAGTGATAGGTCCAGACAGGTCTAGACGAGGAGGACGTAGCCAGTATAGAGGGAGTTGAATGACATGGCAGCCCAGACGATGATGACGTCAGTGAGTAGCATGACGAGAAGTTGACAGAGTGCCGGAAGAAGGAAGAAGATGAGTAGAGAGGCAATTTAGGTGGTGTTTAGATCAGTGACTTAACTTTAGTCTCTTTCTTTAGACACTAATTTAAAGTATTAAATATAGACTACTTATAAAACTAATTAAATAAATGAAAGCTAATTCGCGAGACAAATTTTTTAAGCCTAATTAATCCATAATTAGAGAATGTTTACTGTAGCATTACATAAGTTAATTATAGATTAATTAGGCTCAATAGATTTGTCTCACGAATTAGTCTAAGATTATGGATGGGTTTTATTAATAGTCTATATTTAATATTTATAATTAGTACCCAAACATCCGATGTGATAGGGACTTAAAAGTTTTAGTCCCATCTAAACAGGGCCTTAGTCCCAGATAGTATTCTAACATGTAGACATGTAGTCCCGAATTGATAGTGGTATTTTATCAAATCCTTTTTGATAAGTGGCATTTAGCCGAAAGCCACTTGTCACGCGAAGTAAGCGTAACTCAATTGGTTAGATTTCTTGTGTGGTGGAACCTACACACCGATGTTAACATCATAGATTTGATACGGATAATCGCATTTACAGCTATTTATTTTTGCAATACAGGTGATGTATAATTAATGTCTATGGTGATATCGTATATGTCTGCTAAGGCCCCCATTCGATCTCCACACATGGAGATAAATTTTGGTTGCACGCGAAATGAGAAATCTTATTAGCACATGATTAATAAAGTATTAACTATTATAAATTTAAATTATGGACTTATTTGCTTTTTAAAACAACTTTTACATAGAAACTTTTTAAAAAGACCGTACCATTTAATAGCTTGAAAAACGTGCTAACGGAAAATGAGGAATTTGAAGTTGAAGTTGGAGTTGAAGAAATACTCCCTCCTTCCAAAAATCTGAGTTCTATTTATTTTTTTACCAAGAGCATGACGTAATTAATTCATTCACCATGTGACAAAACCAATAAATATGTTACCAATAAGCATTAAAATGGTTTCTTAATTTCTATCAATAATTTAATTTAGCATATAATAACTACAAATAGGATTTAGATTTTTGAAAAAACTAAAGAATGAAATAGGTATTAGACTTTTGGAAGGAGGGAGTAGAACATATAGATGGCCATATGGCCCGAGGCCCACGGCCCGGCACGAAGCCCGCAATTTTGGCCCGGCCCAAGCACGGCCCGGCCCGACTAGGGTCGTGCCCGTGCCGGCCCGGCCCGATAGCCGGGCCGTGCCTGGGCTGCACCCTCGGCACGGTGGGCCGGCCCGGCACGGCCCGATCAAATAAAAAAAATATAGGGATAAAAAATAGACTTATATAACCGTATAAGGCATGGCCCAAAATAGACTTATTTTCCAGCCATTTAAACACAACCCACAGAGTTGAGGGATCAAAAATAGACTTATTTCCAGCCATTTAAACACAGCCCACAGAGTTGAGGGACCAAATATAAACTCTTTCTGTGAGTCAGCACAATAGCCCATCGTGCCTTCGGGCCGGCCCGGCACGGCCCGACTAGTATTGGGCCGTGCCTGGGCCGTTTATGCCGCCCGTGGGCTGGCACGGCACGGCCCGGTGCATCGGTCGGGCCGTGCCGGCCCGACAAGCCTCGGCCCAGGCACGGCCGGGCTTGGGCCGTGCCGTGCCGGGCGGCCCAGATGGCCATCTATAGTAGAACAGAATAACCTGCCACGATGGCTTTGCCCGTAATAAACCCATTCAACACCCAAACGCCACCGAGAGTCGCCGGCGGCGGCCGCATCCGGCCATCCACCGCCGATCGCCGCCGCCCTTCTCTCCCGTTCCTTCTTCCTCTCCGCTCTCTCGATGGCTGGTCCTCCTCCGCACCAGCCGTCCTCCTCCGGAGATGTCGAGGTCGCCGTAGAGAGCGGCTCCGGGGCCTCGTCCTCAAGGTACGGCACGCACCTATATCCCCTTCCTCCAATCCCTAAATTGGGAACCACAACTGATCCTCCCGAGGAGTGGAGGACCCGCCATGGCTCATACCTCGCATCCACGCCGCGGGAGGTGCCCTGGACGCCCACCCCTCGGCTGCCCGGCCGCCGCCGAGGATGATTTTTCTCCTCTTTTTTTTTTAATTATTTTTCACTTCTGTGAGCTTTGGGCAGCCCTTCCATGTTGCAAAAGTTGTGAAATTCCTAGCTTGGCAGTTGCACATATCGATTTCAATCGAGGCTGCCTATACATCATGTGACATATTTTTTGGCCTCCTATCATACAGATTTCTTACCCTTCAGATCAACATCTAATGGATGACATTAATATACACAAACAAAATACAAAAAACAAACAAACGGGTCACGTGGACAAATCTAAAGCTCACGTGGGCTCAAATGGGCTCAAGTAGATTTCAAACTTACATCGTAAATACACTAAAATTACATATGTAATTTTCAGACTTACATCGTAAATACACTAAAATTACCTATGTAATTAATATGTAATTATAGTGTAAGTACGATGTAATTAGTACGTGTGGGGATCATAAACAAATTAACTTTGGAAAACACGTACGGCTAGTTTAACACCAGGGAACAGTAACGTGGACCTAGTTAATTAGCAGCTAGATGCAAGCACGGATCTCACAAACCATCCTACGGCTAAAAAACCGAATGATTGAAGGCTCATAAATCTGTCAAACGATGGTTAGCGATTCCGATTTCAATTACCTAAAGTAATGTTTTGAAATCTAGCACAAGTTATTGCTCATTGATGCTCAATGCATTCGAGTGAAATTACATTTACTGAGACCTTAGAGCTATCTATGATACCATTTTATATCGTAACACCGCTCTTTAGTCTTTACGATGGAACCAAGATTGCCATTCAACCTTGTTAACCTGTGTTCATATTGGGAGTTTTTCTTTTCTTTGAGCAGTGGTCCTCTTGTTGCTATTTTAAGATGATCTCATGTAAAGATTGAATTTCTTTGTTGAATGGCTTCTTTTCAGCCTCTCCTTATTTTCTAGGTTTAGCAGTGATGTGATTAGATCATGGGGGACCCAGGACAAAATAAACAATAGTTTCAGCTTCGGAAGTCTTGTCTCTGCTGACTATCGATCATTCATCTCACTTCAGTTGTCATTTTCACTAGAACTAAAGCTATCTCAACAAGCAAAGCACCCTCCTTTGATTTGCAGCTCCGTCTGCATGCTTAACCTTAACCCTTGCTGATGTCCTCTATGCTTGAAGAGCGCTCTTGATCCCATTGCTAAGGAAAACATGACCAAAATGATCATTCTTGTGACTTCCGCTGAAAAAAAAAGGACAACATCATACCCCACTGTAACACATACCACCCAATGATGCTGGTCAGAGCTAAGTTATCTCCCTAGTGGTAATGCATTGGAAATAGGAAGAGATTTGATTTTGTTCTATTTAAGCATATCTTCATCTTCTGCGAAAACTTATATCCTTTAACCAGTGCTCAACTTTCTGTCCTGTACTTTTTTTTAGGAACAAACTGCTGAGTATGGTGAAAAAACATTCAGATTTGATCGGCTGGACAGTTATTGATGCTGAAGCTGATGCATCAGACGTGGAAATGGATGATAAATTCTGGCATGAAATACTTGATCTTTTCTTCGTGCATGGTAGGGTTTCAAAGGGGAGGGAAGAGGATGACCTTGTCTTCTTTGTTAATAATATGGTACATTTCAATCTATTGATTCCCCTTATTTAGCTTGACGGTGTGGTCTTGTATGCTAACTGAAGCTCAATATTCTATGTTGGTGCAGAAATTGAACGGGTACAGGTCCAGTGATAACATGGAAAATCCACCTCCCTTTTTTGTGCGAAGATGGGCTCCTAAGGTAAATTAAGCTAGACTATTTGTTTAACTTGATCAATAAATGCATGTGTCCCTTTTGGTAGAAGGAAAATTTCAAGACTTCTTTCTATTTTGGAATTTCTCTGTAATTTACTGTTGAGTTATTCTGTTTGAAACTGTATCAAGATGAACTACATCATCATGTATTGTCAACCATAACATATTTTTTCATTCATGTTTCTTTCCAATAATATTTATCATTCATTGCACATTTACACTTGCACCAGCAAGTCTTATACTGCATTTCTTTAGCATGTACTTGATTGTCTGCCACAATTTGACAGACTTAAATTTGGTAAATTTACTTTCATAAGCTAGTGTTTGGTTCATAACATACTTTCTAGAGCATGAGCTCAACAATTTCTTATACTACATTTATACATACTGTCTTGATTTTCTATTTGGCCTCTTTTGTTTTATGTGGAGCAGCTTGAAAAGATCACCAATATAAATTTAGCTGATGTCAATTGGGAACGTTCATTCTATTTGAATTTAATTGCTCACACGTCATACTCTGTTACAGTTGCAATATGCAGGTAATGTTTCTGCAACAAATCTCTCAAGATATCCTGCATGTTTTGTATTTAGTATTTAGGCAAATTTTGCTACAGGACATCGTGACTTCGCGGTTTTAGCCATAGGACACTGCACGAAATGGCTTTTGGGGGAATACACTCTATAAACGTGGTAATTTGCCAGCAGACACCGTACCCATTAAAATAATAGTTTTCGTTTGAAGGAGAGAAAAACCGCATGAGATGTCAGAAATACCCCTGGACCCACATGTCAGCTCTCCCATCTCTCTTGTCTCTCTGTCTCCTCCATCGATGTCTCCTCCATCGATGCCACAGATGGGTTTGCCGGCGATGCGGACAAGGTGGCGCCACGGGACGGCTCACCGGTGGTAGCTGGCGACGCGCTTCGCCGACCTGACCAACAACGTGTTCCGTGCGCCTACCTCGGCACCACGCCCGCCGGCAGGGGACGCCACGTCGGGGAGGCGTACTGCCACGACTGTGTCCAGTGTCCGCGCATGCCGCGGCCCAAGATCCTAAACGCGTTCGACATCATTGCATCGTCGCCGAGCTTCGACCTGTCCGGGCTGTTCCAGGAGCGCGGCGAGAGGATGCGCTTCGTGTCCGGCGCGTCGGTGGCCGACATCATCGCCAAGCTAGAGGAGATCGCCGGCATGGTGAGCTTCATGGCGCGGACCAAGGACTGCCAGGTGAGCATCGAGGCGACGCAGAACGGGCAGAAGGGCGCGCTCGCCATCTCCGCCAAGGTGTTCGAGCTCACGTGGGAGCTCGTCATGGTCCAGGTGTCCATGGTCCGCCTATGAGCTGTTAATTTTGGAGGTCTGTTTGATTATCCATCTTCTTGCCACGAGAGAAAAACATCTATAGCGAATCTCGATTAATTTGCCAGCATCGAGGAGGCGGCGGTGCTCGGATGTCCGGCAGTCGCGCGCGCCCTGAACCAGTGGCGGCGCTAGCTGTCCGGCGGTCGGAGGCGGCGGGGTAGGGCGCGCATCCGGAGCCACCTGCGGCGCTCGGATGTCCGGCGGGCGCACGTGAGGAGGCGGCAAGCAGCTTTGGCGGGAGGTGGTGGCGGCGGGCTAGAGCGCGAGGAATCGATGAGTGGTGGCGGACTGGCGCAGGGAAGCGTGGGAAGGAAGGGGGGGATAGAGAGAAGAGAGATGGGAGAGCTGACATGTGGGTCCAAGGGTATTCTTGACATTTCGCGCTATTTTTCTCTCTCCTTCCAGCGAAAGTTATTATTTTAATGGGTGCAGTGTCCCTTGGCAAATTACCACATTTATAGAGTGTATTACCCCAAAAGTCATTCCGTGCGGTGTCCTAGAGCTAAAATCGTGAAGTCACGATGTCTTGTAGCAAAATTTACCTAGTATTTATCTTGAATGATTGGCATTCAGTTATTTATGTTAACAAGGAAAAGTTTATTTGGTGATCTAGTGATGCACATCCTTTCTAATGTGCAACTTAATGGTTCTAAACTTCTAATCTGTCAGTAAAAAAGTTGCCTGTATATTCTCTTAAATTCTTATCCTTCCTTTGCTCAAATGTGACACTGTTGCCACATGTTGTCTGTACTAGTTTTATGCTTCTATTTTCTGTTTCTTCCCCGCTCTAGCAGTTGTGAACTGGATCTAGGTTACCTTCTAACTTACAGAACTAGTCAGATATCTTTCGTTATTAATTTATACTGGCATCATTGTGTGTGTGGGTGTTTGGGGCGGGGGGGGGGGGGGGGGGTACTCACAAATATTTGGAGTGCAACAATATCCATTGTCACACAAACTGAGACCTCTGATTGTGTCATATGTTCCTCCTTAGTTGATATATATAGCAAATTATTATTCAACAATTGTGTTTCTTATGATCTACTGTACAGTATCATGGATCTTTGCAACCGTGCAGAGAAAAGCAAACCATTATCACCAGTTTATAAGGTAATGTACAAGTAAGCATTCTGTGCCACTTACTCGTGATGTTTAATGTTGAGCTTTGTTTCATGACTACTTATATATTCATTGTTTCAGAACATTCCATAATTTTATCCACAGTTTTAAACCAGGCCAGTGAGTGAACTGGCTATTTCTTGGTTCACTAGTCAGGTTTTTCTGTAGGAACACAGTCTGATGAAGGTAACATTAAATTGTCTTGAGAAAATCCTTTAAAAGATTAACAGCTATTCGAGTTGTTTGCCAACTAATACCTAGTATTGTTTCTTACGAACAATGGTCCTATCCACTTGATTCCTTCCTACATTGAAAGACAAAGATGCTGGTTCAAATCTGCATATTGCAACTCCTTTAAATTTTGTTTCACCTGTTTTGGAGCTAAACAGTCCAGAACACAGACAATACTGGATCAGGCTTCTGTGTGTTTAGAGGATTTTACCATCCTTAAGAGGTGCCACCAGGTACAAGGTAATGACGGGTACCATTCAAATCTAACCATTGATTTGCTGGGAGGATGATGGCCAAAAGTTAAAAATAGCAATGCTAGGTATCTATATCCGTTTCTCACGACAGACATGGGAATGGGATCAGAGGATCAGGGAGGATGCCTTGCAAGGGGAATGCACATGATGGCACCCAATTTGAGTCTGCTGCTTTGATCTGAACAGAGGGAGGAATCTGGATGAGGAAAAATAATGCGTAACTCAAAGAACAAGACTTTCTCATGAATCGATATCCTATTATTTACAGCAGATCCAAGCTCTGGATCTTGTTTTTATAGTTCATCAATATAAAACTGCCAATTCCACTGTAATCTGGTATTCCAGCATATAGCTATTTACGTTTGGTTCAGCAAACCCAACAACAAAATTCATAGCAACAAACAAAAAATAAAGAGGAAGAGAGGTCAGTGGGGTCTCAGCTCAGTACTGAACCAGCGGCGATGGGAGTGGACCAGGGTGGAGGGAGGTCCCTGCCGTCACCTGCCCCCACGTTCCCTGCTCTCTCCTCCTAGCGCATCAGAAGGTCGTCGAGCCGGTCCACTGCCACATCTGCCACGCAAAGGTCATCGCTGTCACTGTCTGCTCATCGTTCTCGTTGTTAGGCCGCCCATGAAATCGAGGAAGCCTCCCAGCTACCGCCGCCCTCGGCCATATCTGGCACCCCTGACATCGGCGGCGGCCATGTCTGTCCCAAAGGTGGGCGATGGTCGGCAGGAGAGGGAAGACGGGGAGACAGCGCATGAGCTGCAGAGCCAAGGAGGTAATGTCGTTGGATGGGGAGAAATAGTTGATGCGAAATTACCATGTTACCCTCCCACCATTAGAAATAGATTGGTACCTGCTCTCAATAGGCCGTCGTGGCGGGCGGTACAAAACCTTTCCAGCCATTAGATGGTGTGTATTTGACTGCTAGGATTATGGTACCTCCTGCCCTCAAGGACTGCAGAAAGCCTCGTGTGTGATCATTTGGCTGGGTTTTCTTTATTCTTCCAAGCCTTGGGTTGAAATGAACCTGACTCTGAAAGAGTTGTTCCATTTTATTTAACTCTTAACTTCTGTATTTCATTGTTGCAATGCTATCTACCCTAGCTAAAGTTTAACATGTTCTCAGTGTTAAGTAATTCCATCTCAAACTCATTGTCTTATCAAAACAGGTCACAAAAACTGTGTATGCATCCCCGAGCCGCGTAAATTTTCATCTTGATCGAAGGAAGGTGATTTTTTTTCTGGCCTTTTCTGTTAAAAGAGATGGTTTTTCTATATACATTCTTGTTTCTTTGAACAGGCAGTAGAAACGGTACCTGCATACCCCAATATTTGTTTCTCAATTGATGACTTCGATGATACCTTTGATGCAGTTGTAAGTTCCCATTTAATTCCCCCTAGTAGAAGAGATAGTGTTCAGCGTTCTAACAAGTGTTGTCATATGGATGTATCTTTAATATTGCATTGTTTTCATTGTTTTCATATATATACTCTATAGGAAAACCCTAATGATTAACGTGGTCATTCAAATTTTAGCAGGTTTTATCAGACCCTGAACATTGCTACTGTGTTATTCTCAATGCACATGATGGGGCAGCATTTCCTGAAAACACTGAATCGAAAAATCCTAGCTCAAATGTGCTATCTGGGGTAAACACTGGGAGCAAACAAGAAAAACCACCAAAGGTTCTCTCTCTCTCTCTCTCTCTCTCTCTCTCTCTCTCTCACACACACACACACACACACACATACGATGCAGGTTTCTTTGTAGTACCATTTTCAGATGGAAAGAACTTCAAATCACTTTTTTTGTTGTGAGTAGTTCTGCAGTTAGAAATATATGTTATCACATCTTGCATTTTTTTAGATAATGTCACATAAGATCAGAAGTTTTAATCAGTTTTTAAAAGAGTTATGCATTGTTAAACATTACCGATCTGCAGTACTTTCTTGTTTCCGGTAGTAATTGAGTGCCAAATCCATCATATCTTTAAGACTGTGATCATTCATTTAAAACCGATCTACTTTAAAACTGTGAGCATTTGTTCAAACCCATAAGAGTCTTGTTAAACTTCGGTTGTTGGCAACTGGTAATTTATTGTGGTCACAAGGACAACAGTTTCAGGCCCCATATTATCAGTGCCATAGTAAAGTAGTATTTTCTTGGCACCTCAACCTTTTCTAGTTTTATAGATATAATAATATTTTATATGCTTTGGAGGGCTTGCTCAGTCGTGCCTTCTCAGTTGTGCACATCTTTCACTATGCTCCTAATTATTTTAATATAAATTTAGAACTATTGACAGGTTCTCTCTGCCTACTGGCATCACTCTTGTTCAAAGCATAGTTACGCTTTAGAAGATATCTGCTTCTGCAACACAACTTTATGATGTATAATGTCATACAATATTAATGAGTTTCTCACCTACATAGGGCTTCTGTGATTATTATTGCAGAGAACTCTCTTTTCAGGCTACGTCAGCTACCAAAACGTTCGAGAAGCTTATGATGGTTAGTCTTTCGTCCATCTAAGTATTTCCAAGGAAACTATTGTTCAGTTGGTCTTCTGAAGTATTTGCTTCCTTTCAACTTTATCTGCACAGAAACTATTGTCACATGATTAATATTCCTGTCAACATATTTCTTCCTCCATAGCTAAATCTAATAGAATCATATGTTTGATAGTACTGGTTTTAACTGCATCAACCCTTTGCTCAACTAGTGGATTTCCTGTTTAAAAAAATTGTAGGTACCTAACATTTCATTCCTTGTAGGTTTCACATTTTCTGATATCCTGTTATAGCTGGCAGATCAAAATTTGAGAGCTTATTCTCACTCGGGCATGACCGCACTAAACTTGATAAACTTTATATGAGGGGCCCTGAAGGACGTGGAGAAGTTGAAGTAGCTGTTTCTGGAATAGCAGGTCAGTTATGGTTAGTCTGAGAGTCCCAAATCATCAGTGCCATAATTATCATGCTGTGACATGCAATCATGCATTATCTGTAATGAGTAGTTCTAATAGAATGGATTTGGGACTCAGTTAAAATAATGACACACATATATTGCTATGGTAATTGGTAAACTACTGTCGTATCTTTATACTGTTGTTGAAATGTTTGTTTCTCTACAAGTTATCACTTTTTGGTGCAATGCTAGGTTATAGTTTGCATTTTGCATTCTATAACAAATGTACAACATTAGAACTACTTCCAAATATCCTTACTGCCCCACCCCAGACATGCACATTCACTTTTTGGGTTACTGTAGCTCTAGTGCAAGTTGTTGATCCATCAAACTCTCACACGGGAATGATTGTCTTCTACCAGATCAGAGCCATGAGAGATCAAAGAAAGATCCAGGAAATAGCTTTCGGGCCCTTGTCCATAGTGCAGCATCTACTGCATCAAAACTAGCAAAGCATGCCTACGAGGCTGCATCTACCAACAAACGCTTTGATGATGAGCTTCTGCCTCTAAAATGTTGCTTGATGTCAGTATCTCTTCCTTGGGACTACATTGCACATGACCTGCTGCACAAGGTAAAATCCGTCACTACTTGTGAATAATAATTATTTTGATGACTAAAATTGTTAATAACTAGTTTTCTTTTCCTGCTTTTGTTTTCACAATTATCAACTATTCGCTGTTGTCAAACAATATCTTTATTCTGTGTGAGATTGTTGATAACTATTTTTGCTTTCTTGCTTTTTTTTGTCACAATTATCAAGTATTGGCTATCACTACTGGAGAACTAATCTTTTGTCGTGGTACCAAAAAACACAAATTTCTCAGATCTATTACCAACCATACTAAATATGTTATTTAGTACCGGTTGGTAACACCACTAGTACTGTACAATCACTAAACATTGTTTTTAGTCCCGGTTCAACATTGTCAGACCGAGTCAGATCCTTAGGGATTAAAGATCAACCGGTACTAAGGATCAACACTTTAGTACTGATTGATGTCACCAACCGATACTAAAGATTATTTTCACCTTCCTCGACTTCCTTTACATTTATTTATTTCATGTAGATGCATCGGCCATGTAAACGAAGTCGACGAAGGTGAAAATGGTTAAATAAGCATTTAATAATTTAAAACATCATAATTGTAAATATACATTTTCATGTATTATCTTTTTTAAAATTCTAAAAACATTTTCAATGAATTCTTCTTATTTCTAGTGATTTTAATGAGTTTTAAATGGACTTAATCAGAGCTATGGTTAATTATATATAAATTCTAGAAGTTTTATAAAATTGTAAGTATTTTTTTTCATGTATTATACTTATTTTAACTATTTTTAGAAGTTTTTTAAAATTCTGAGCATATTTTCAATATATTCTTATTTCTAACTATTTTTTAAAAAAAAATGGACTTAGTTTTCTGTTCTTATTCCTTCATTTTCTATAATTTTCCTTTGTTGTCTTTTTTTTTAACATTTTCATCCAATGTCTCTAAAATTCTAAAGTACTCTTATTTTCTCTAAAAGTTTATTCTCTCCTCTTTTTCCACAACTTTTTGTGAGAGAAATGTGTAGAAACATAGCTAGAAATGTAATATGTTAACCATACATCAATAGAGGATGAAATTGCTAACCTTTTAGATCCTTTCGATTCGTGTAATATCACCAAATACTTTCCAAAAAAATTTGGCAGCACTTCTCTTCCTCCTCTTGGCAACAATGGTTCGAGCTAGAGGAGGAAGAAGGCATATAAAAGGGAAATGAGCTTTGGTACTGGTTGGTAACACCAATCGGTACTACAGATCAACATAATCTTTAGTAGCAGTTGGTAACATCAACTGGAACAAGTATTAGTCACACCAATCGATACTAAAGATCCTGAGGGGCGGCTTGACACGGTTTGACAATGTTGAACCGGGACTTAAAAACTATCTTTTATTACCAACCGGTACTAAAGATTGTATAGTACCGTTGGTGTTACCAACCGGTATTAAAAAACATCTTTAGTAGTGATATAACTAAAATCACTAAAGATTATAGATCCGAGAAATTTGTGTTTTTTTACCACGAAAGAGATCTGTTCTCTAGTGGTGATATGTAACTTATGATATGAAAAAGTTGAGGTTGACAGGCCATGCCATGTAACAGGAAACACCTCCGTTGGACCTATGATCCGCAACAGTTTCAAACCAATACGAATTTTGGGAAGAACAGCATGGTTGAGAAGTGGTACTCATCTACTGGGACATCTCATGGTCAACAATGAGAATTTGTTTCAGGATCCTTACTGGGCTAGCCATTGGGGCGAGTTGAAAGGAAGAGGATTGCTTGTGTTATGAATGTTGAGACTGCGATTCCAGTTATGCAACACAAGGAATGATCTTACGTACATGATTTTGGAAAAGTTTGTGGTTAGCAAGTCTTGTGTGCTCGATATTGTGTAAGATATGTGATGTACATGTGTACTTTAAATAGACTTTGTATAGTTTTTATGCGCCGTTGTACAATGTTGAAAGAAGACGTGCAAAGAAAGCATATTTTAACTTTTTTATCACGAGGATATTACATCTTGTACTGGTAGCTAATCTATACTTACTTTCTATAAAGTTACAACCCACTAACTCTAAATCTTAACATGCAACTATGCCACATCATTACCCACTAGCAATAATTACATATTCAACCTCATGCAAGTATGTAACATCATCTACAATCTATTTAATTAAACAAATCAACATGTAAACATATCCAATCATTACCCCTCACATCATTTCCACAATATTTTTACAAATCTATGTATACATAGTAATTACCTGCATGCATGCCACTGGTTTTTTAATTTTGCATGTATGCCACTCGGATGATAATTATAGTGGAATTTTTGTAATCTTCTAATGGCAATCTTGCAATAATGATTTACATCATTAAAAAGAGCTAGATAATGTGATGCTGGAAGATGGTGCGTGCTACAATTTGCATCAAAGCATAAATCTCTGCATCTACCCTATAATTCAACAACTGGGTCTTACATCCTTCATATTTCATTCATCAAATCCTACGCTCTGTATTCATTTATCCCGATCGAACGATCCTGATCGACTCACCTCGCCTACCCCGCGCGGGCGCATCTCCTTGCCCTGCACGCGCAATCGACGTATTGTGCCCCCCTCAGGAGCGCACTGCCACCAACCCTAATTGCCGCCGCCCCGTAGGCCGTCGATCCGCCACCGCTGGCCTTCGTCACGCCGTTGCCAGTCTCCGTCGCGCCGCCGTCGTTTGGTCTCCGATGAGCCTCCATCGTCTGCTATCCGTCGCGCCACCACCGGAATCCCCTGCCGACCAGTATCCCTCACCGTGACGCCTTCCTCGCCTCAGTCAGGGCCACGGACAAGCTCGACGGGCGGCCACAGAACTAGGGCACCGGGCGGCCTTCCTCCAGGTCGCCATCTTGTGGATTTTCTGCCGTGATAGCATATTGGGATTTGTAGGGGGGTTTTTCTGTGTACAGAGTTGAATTCTTGTCTGTTGATGCTAGCTGCATCTTGCTTGTCCACAGGTTAACCCCGACAGGAGTACGGGACATCAATGGATACATGGTTATGGCAATTACGAGCAACATCAGCAGGAGCCTCCATAGCAGCAGGAACCCACACAGCAGGTATGAGATTGAAATGCTACGCAGTCGTCCACATTTTTCTCATCATACATACATACACTGTAGAAGTTCACTTCTTTAATTTCGATTGAACAAACAAGCATTGTTGTACATTTGCTTTGTGAACTGCTGGCCCAAATTGCACGTAGTTCCTGTTTTCAGGCTTTCCAAATTATTATCCAGTTCTTTCAATCTTTTTATAGCTCCATTGTTCTGTTGCATGACAGAGATCATGAGTTTGACAGATTGTTTGGTACCTAGCAATTGTTTTGTGTAGTTTAATGTGACTTATTTAACCCTAATTATACTTACATTGTAATTGCATTATAAATATTACATTTGATGGATTTTTATGGAGGATTTTCTATCAAATGTTAGCCATGAAAAAGGGAGTTGGTTGATCTACATTTACCTATTATGCTCCTCTAATCTTGTAATAAGGCAAATGCTCTAATTATAATTATTCATCAATGATAATAGATTAATAAACGGTTTTAATTTTTTTTTGTTGCATGCATGTATGTATAAAAACAGGCACCGTTGGACAGGCAGATTTTAATTAGGGCCATCTCTGGGATTAGAATTGCTTAAGTTCACTTTTAGATCAAGAAGAAAAAAAGTAATGTACGTCAGTCCAACATGCAGCATAGAAGTTCAGGATTTATAACCTGAAAGAATTTTCTCAAAATTTTTGTCTGAAAAATTCCTGAGAGACTGAAATTCGATAAAGTTTTCAGTCCTAAGAAACCAATTGCTTTAACTATATTGGACTTGGTTATGGTTGGATGAGACGCTGTGGTTGACAGGTCTCTATAATGTTAATTTCTATCGGTTGGGCGCAGCGTGGCACTCATCTTGCCGTAGGGACAAACCAAGGCAGATTTCAGGTTAGGCATCCCGCTCATCTGAAATGATCAGATAACATGTTCATTGTTAACCAAAATTTTTGACTGCTTCAAGAATGCAGGACTACTTAAGGTATTATTAGTTGATGATCGATGAACTTTGCCCTCTATTTCTTGTTTGATTGCTTTTACAATTAAAAAAAATCAATTGGTTATGACTTATAACATCTGCATTTGATTTTATATTGATTTCTCAACTCCGTGTGTTCCATTTAACTGAAAATGGATTGCCACTATTTGTTTTATTCCAGATTCATGCAAATGCAGTTGGGAGGCCTATAACCCTTATGTGGCCTGTAACACCCTTATGTAGGTATTGCTTTCTTGTTTCAGAATTAGAATGTGACTGCCCTTTCATGACCATGTAAGCAATGACTTAGAATTGTCGAGACCAATGTGGATGCTCCTTTTATTTGCAGTAATTTGGCATTCTTTTGTGTACCTCACTACAATCAGTAGAATATCCTGAATAGGTACTGATTTATTATAATTCTAAAGGTCAAGCTAACAAATTTAATATTTGTTTAAAATTGCAATGCATGTCAACTTATTTCTTAAGCAAGGTATATTTTGGATCCGAGATGAACATATTCTTAACCATATTCACTCCAATCAAAGCAAGTGGAATGTGGGATGTTGTGTGAGAAACAGAATTTGAATGTTTACAGGGTTTAGCTTTCATTTTGAGTTTGGCCATGCCAGGTCAATTTTTGGCATTTCAATGTCTATGCACTTGGTCTTATAATGCTTTTGAAATGAATGTCTGGATCTAATCGTGCAATGTGTCTTCAATTTATTTTTACCCCGCCACACATGGACATATATTGTCCCTAGACTTGTGTCGAGGTGATTAGGGCTGTTTTCTTTTGGAGAGGTTGGGAACCCCTCCCCTCCGCACGGAAAACGGAGCGATAGATTAACACATGATTAATTAAGTATTAGTTATAAAAAAACTTAAAAAATATATTAATATGATTTTTGAAAACAACTTTCCTATATAAACTTTTCGCATAACGCATACCATTTAGCAGTTTAAAAAGCGACTCATGGGAAAGAATTTAGCCTAGATATAGTTGATGGTCTTAAATTATTTTTTTCAGACAATATGATATTTTTGCCCTTTGTCTTAAATTAACATTTGAGACTGATTCTAGAAATGTAATTTGACTAACATGAAATTTAATAATATAATTTATTAATCAAAATATTATTACACCGTAGCGTTAGCATGGACAAATTACTAGTATGTATGTAGTATGTATGGTTCTAAACAACTGGGGGTGAGTTTGAATCTCCTCGCTCGTCATACCCCCAGCAGCATTGCAACAACATGAAATCCAAAGAAGATGAAAATAGCTATGGCACTGGAGTTTTTTGTCACACTCAAGACCCTTTATCGGCTTCTCCACAAAATTGTCATACACTGAAAAGAAAAAGAGAAATACAAAAGAAATGCAATATGTTCCGTTAAATAGCATTATATGTCAACACTGGTGGAGAAAGGGGTTTTACTCCCGGTGAGTTGGTTCGTAACCTCACTGTAGTCCCGGTTTTCAAACCGGACTACCAATTCGGGTCTAAAGATCACTATCTTTAGTCCCGGGTGAAAAAACCGGGAGTAAAAATCCATTTTTAGTCATGGTTGGTGAGATAGAGTCTTTTTAGTCCCGGTTGGTAATACCAACCAGGACTAAATATAAAGATAGAGCTAGGCTAGCTAGATCCGGTTGCTCCATTATTATTTTCTTTTCTTCATTGTTTTTAATATATTGATTTCACCCCATCCCCATCCCAAAATCCCAAATAAATTATCCCCAAATCCTCAAATCCTCAACTCCCCAAATCGATACATCACAGATACATCATAAATTTTACAAAATTCATCACAGATACATCACATTCACATCACACACAAATCAAATACACACACAAATTCTAAAAAGAAGAGATATGGAGGAGGAAGAGATAAGGCCAGGGAGGAGATAGAATATATTAACTGCTCCTCCTCCTCCTCGATTTGGCCTCGTACTCTCCGCCGCCCATGTTGCGCATGCTGATCTTTTATTCCGGTTGGTGTTACCAATCGGGACTATAATCTTTAGTCCCGATTGGTAACACCAACCGGGACTAAAGATAATAGAGATCTTTTGTTCCGGTTGGTGTTACCAACCGGGACTAGAAATAGATATTTTGTTCCGGTTGGTAATACTAACCGGGACTAAAGATAAAAAAACTACTCTAACCTTTTGAACTGGGATTAAAGATATCTTTATTGCAACCGGGACTATTGTGTATTTTGGCCGACCATCTTTACCAACCGACAGAAGATGGTTTCTCCACCAGTGCAAGTAAAGTCAAGGTAGAGACAATGCAATTTACTTGAGAAGAAAAAACAGTGAAATATGCAGTGAAACAGAAAATATAATAATTAACCTTACCAAGAACATGCTGAGGTTGTTCTTACCTAAGCTTCTTTATTGGCCAGATCAATGTTCTCGATGCCTCCAAATCCTATACATATTTTGTGTGCTTTATTTTTCATTCTGAATGTGTACATTTCAAGCTTGGATCAGGGGAAGGCCGGAGAAATCAAATATGCCCTAAAGCTTAAAAAGACATATGTCAGATTTACAAGCTAGTAGTGTTGGTTGATATTTATCTCTTTCCAACAGAAACAAAGTATTAAGTCTTTTTTACGGTTCTTTATAAACAATTTAAAGTGTCGTCTGATAAATAAAAGAGATGAATGTGCTGATATATAATTCAAGATGGAAAACTCCAATTCAGTCGCACACTTCATGCCCCGTTTGGCACAGCTCCAGCTCTCAACTCCAACTTACCTAGAGCTGGAGCTGTGCCAAACGGTACAGATTCTCTATTTTCTGGAGCGGAGTTAGCAGAACTGCTCCACAAATTTGTACTACGGGGGTGGAGCTGGGTTTTTCTGCTCCACAACTCCATTCCACCCCAAAAGACCCACTACCCTTTAATTTTTTAGGGTATTTACACCAAAATGCCATTGAACTACCCCTGTCTACCCCGGCGGCCGGCGTTGGCGTCGGCAGCGGCAGCGGCGGACGTCGGCGGTGGCAGCGGCGGACGTCGGCGGTGGCAGCGGCGGGCGGCAGCGGCGGGCATCGGTGGCAGCGGGCGGCGGCGGCGCCGCAGGGTCGGCGGCGCGTGGGTGGGACAGCGCACGGGCGCACAGGCGGCGCGAGCAGGGACGACGAGTGGACGGCGCACGGGCGGCGACTGGCAGGGACGGCGCGGGGGCGGGGACAGGGCGGAGCTCGCTCGTCCGCTGCTGCCGTGGAGCTCGCTCATCCGTCGCCGCGGCGAGTCAAGGACGGCGACTGGTGAGGACGGCGTGCGGGCGGGGACAGGGCAGCGGCGCGCGGGAGACGCAAGGGCGGGGACAGGGCAGCCGACGGCGGGTGGCGGCGGGTGGCGGCGCGTGGCCGGCGAAGGGCGGCATGTGGCCGGGGAAGGGCGGCGTGCCGGGGACGGGATTGGGGATTTTTTTTAAGGCAATTTCAGATCTGGAGCTAAAAAGTTAGCCAAACACTTTTTCAATAGGTATCTACTCCCACAGGAGCTAGCTCTCGCTGGAGTGGGAATTTAGAGTTAGGAGTTGGAGTTCGGAGCCCTACCAAACGGGGCCTGAATAACAAACGTGGTGGGGTATTCCTAGAAATTCATTCGCTATATGAACGAAGGATAACCTAAAGTAAAATAAAATGTGCCTCATAGGCAACTCCATATATGATATATACTTATACTATGAATCTGGACAAATCTGGACAGACTTCTTGTCCATTCTTATCCAGATTCATAGGATTAGTAGGACTAGGCTATGTTCCATTTAATCAAAGTCCCTAATGTTTTGAGATGGATGGAATACTTTCATATTAATAGGTCACATTTTGTTCTCTCTCATTTCACACTAATTTATCATGAAATTGCTACAAATGAACAGTTTATGGGATAGAGGTAATACTTACTACCCCGTCCTAAAATATAACAACTTTTGGCTTGTCTAGATTCATAGCTAAAAATGCTTATATTTTGGGACGGAGGGAGTAGTAGTACAAAAAGTAGTACTTTATTTTCTCACACACTGGTTGAAAATTTGTAACCTGAAACCAAACAATTTTGAGCAACGGCACACCAGCAACACTCGGGATATCATCTAGTTTGTTTTTTTTTACACTTGCAACCTTAAACTGCATAATCTATGGCTTGAACATTGGAGGCATTCTCACTTTGGTAACCTGCTCGAAGGCATAAGCCATCTCAATTAGCCTCGGCTCGTACCCCTTCAATCCACCGAAGCAGACACCAAAGGGGACTCCTTTCTCGTCGTACCCTGCCGGCACAACCACGCCGGGGAGGCCATGGAAGGCGAGGACGACGGCGGCGGCGGAGTCCGGCGTCACGATGGCGTCCAGCTGATGATCGTTCATGAGCTTCTCGACCCCATTCACTGACAGCTCGTTGAGACGACGGATCGCAGCCTTCTCTGCAGGGCCGATCCCGGCTGTGTTTTCAGACATCAGCAAGATGCTCTGTCCATGCTCTTTCAGCTCCTCCTGCAGCTCAGTAGCTCAGAAATTCTGTCAGTAAAATTTAGAGGTTTATCTTGCTTTGAAAGAAGGTAAAGGATTTAAGTATGAATTAGTGAATTGTGTTAGGACTAACTTCGACAGGATGTGCATTGTTGAATGCAATTATTTCAGCGAGAGAACGAACTGGCGAGTATGATAAGTCTGACAGATAGTTGTTCAGGTTTAGCTTGAACTCGGCCAGCAATGCGGTGAGCAATCCACTTTTAGTGCCATCGAATATGACACTCAAATTAGCTATCTCGAGGTTTTCGATTACAACTGCACCCTGTTGCCTTCAGAGATGAGTAACAATTAATTAAATGGTTGTAGTTTACTTCTGGTAAAATTACTCAATTGCTACATATATGATATTAGACAACTTCGACAAAGCATCGTACAGGGAAAAGAGAGAAGGTTCAAAAATTTCGTTGATGATTACCTCTGAAATGTGATAGGTAAAAATAATCTTCAACCATTTTTTTAGTTTAATTCTTGTAGCAATACACCAATACCAACTTCCGAAAGGGAATATAAGCATTAATTGATAACAACATGGTTGTTAGCTGGGGTGTTGGGGTTTCATGTATGAACTAAATTGCTCGTTTTGAACTTTGAAGTCATTGTCTTTTCTGCCCAAAGTCAAGGCAAGATAACTTACACAACCCAACATTATTTTTCTTCAATACACAACTCATATTAATTTTATTTCCTTGTACTATGTATATATTTTTGGCACAATCCCATCATGTGTCACAAATTAAACGAATTACGTTGACCATATCAGCAACCTAAATTTTCATGTTTCTCATCTAATAGGTCATATCTATTTATACTACCACCACAACTTACAGTATATTAGTATAATATTTTTTTCTACCAGAGTAGAACTCACGGTTCTTAAAATTATCTCTGATGGGGATAACAGTGGTCGTAGTAGAGATGACCGTAGAGGTAGTCTTCCTATATATACTTACAAAATGTGAAAAATCACTGAAGTATCGTCATAATATTCTTATCATAGGATCTTACGTAAACGATACAAATATCCTCGCGTTAGATATATATTGCTAAGTTAACTAATAAATATTATTTGGGCTATGGTCTAGATCCTTAAAAAATTACCTCATTGTGTTGAGGTGTTGCTTGTACACCATCTTCCTGACAGTTCCATTTGGGAAATCAAAAAAACCGTCTGGTATGCCAATCCTCTTACCCTTCAACCCATCAATTCTCAAGAATTGCACATATCCACCAGCAGGGATATACTTCGATGCTGCTTTTGTGGCTTTGGCATCAAGAGCATCATAACCCACAATAGCATCCAACACATGGACAGCATCTGCCACTGTTCGACATAACGGTCTGTGTATTTGAAATCAAAATTCAACATATGTAAAATTAATGTTTTGATAGGATAAGAAATACTTTAGATGTCAAATTAAGAAAAATGGGCTATAAGATATACCTATGCTCATAAAGTTTATATGGTCAATTTTACAACCTCTAAACCTATATTCATACAACATTGTTAGGAAATCCCCTCATTAACCGAAGAAAAGGCCAAAAAATACCAATATTGTTTGTAGGATGATATTATAGTAGTTTGACTCCATATCTGATATAAATTGATAATCATTAATGTTCAATTGCAGAATTATTTAATTAAGGAAAAGGTAAGAAATATGTGACCCCTTGACAACTACAACATGGCATTATTATTTTTATTCTAACTTTTCGAGTTCAAGAGTAACAAATAATTAAAGCAATGAAACTATGTATTGGGATGCATCTTCCACACAATTTAGATGCCAAGTAAATATCGGACAATTGCAACTATTTTTTATGAATTTTTGGTTATCAATTCTAAAAAATAAATTAATTTATATTTGAATAAATATATTTTAATTTATAAAAAAAATAAAACCAAATGACTAAAATATCGTACTCATATTTATGCCAATGCATACTTAATTTGAAAATAGAAACATAATACCCAATAATGAATTTAATAAAGCTACAAAGAAATAATTACTGTTAATAAACTGTACAAACTATCTTTTTATATTATAAGTCGTTTTGACCTTTTTTTTCTAGTTAAACTTTTTTAGTTTAACTAAATTGATAGAAAAATTTAGTAACATCTACAACACCAAATTACTTTCATTAGATATAACATTGGATATGTTTCGAAAACATGTTTGTTTTATGTTGAAAATATTATTATGTTTTTCTATAAATTTAATCAACCTAGAAAAAAAGGTTAAAATAACTGATAATATGAAACGTCACTACAAGAAAACATGCCTTTAGTAACCATGGATTTAGTTACCAAGGAATTTGGTGGCTATAGTCCATCACTAGCAACCAACATCTTAATGGCTTGGTTACTCCAAGTCGTACAACGTTTTAGTACACTTTGTATATGTGAGGACCCTACGACAACCAAGGACTGAAGGACTTAAGATAATTATTTGAAAATACAGAGGACTCCAATTGAAAAGTGCAGCTATTATCTGTTCTCGCCATGGAACACATCTCCATCATAGAAACACTTCAAAGACATCAAAACCTAGGGCTCAGCGGTGGCAGTGGGGCTGAGCAACTTTTCTTATATACATGAGCAACCTTTCTTATTTGGTTTGACCCCAACTTTTTTTTTATCAGGTGCACCGTATCAATAGCCTTCTGCTATATACATGCCAAGCATACTGTGGTCACAAACCTGTCCCAAGCTTTGAAATTCTATAAATGTACGGCATATATTTTTCTTGTATTAGAAGTGATTGGGTGTGACATCCACACTTAAGTAGTATTAGTTATTTTCTGACTATTACAATGTATTGTTCAATCAAATATACTCAGATTTGCCATAATTATTTTGTTTATATTATGGTGATATTTTGATCTGTATGGATTGTTCTTGTGTGTGACCATATCTTTTAGCCACCAAGGTTAATATTGTTCTTGGTGGCAATAGGTATTTAATAACTACTACTCTGTCCCATAAAAAACCTAATTCTAGCTATAAATCTGGACACTTGTGTGTTCATATTCATAGTCAGGATTGGTCGTTTTTTAGGACGGAGGGGGTAAGAGCCAAGGGTTATAGTGCACTTTTATTTACCAAGTACTATTTGGTTACAAAATAATACCAATATTTACTCGGTTACTATTAGTTCAACCTATTGTTACCAAGTATTGGCTGGTAACTGGAAGGTATAGTACGTTTAACAACCGGATTATAGCCATCAAGATACGTCCAAGGTATAATGGTGGTTACATATCATCAACAGTGATCAACATGTGATCTCCAATGACTAGGCACCTTAATGACTAAAACTCATTTTCCTTTAGTGAACGGAGGGGGTACGAATTAACAATTTTTAGCATATACAGCTGGTGAAAATAAAAACTTACCCGACGGTGTCCTGCCTAGTTGTGAACGGGATAACACCTGACCGGCTTGTCAACCCAACCGTCGGCTTAATCCCCACCACCGAGTTCGCCGCCGCTGGGCACAGGATCGACGCCGTCGTCTCCGTCCCCACCGTCACCGCCGCCATGTTCGCCGCCGCGGCGATCGCCGGACCGGTGCTCGACCCGCACGGATCGGCCGAGAGCACGTATGGATTCTGCGGACGTCACACGTGCGCGCGCACACACACAAACAGTTAGATGACGCCCAGTCTAGCTTGCGTTCGATCGCCATGGCAGGCGGCAGCTGTGTCGAGCTTGCCGCCGGCTGCTTACCCGGGATTGGCCGCCGCGTGCGCTCCAGCCGCGGAGACCCGGCGAGCTGCGGAAGTTGGCCCACTCGGGGAGGTTGGCCTTGCCGAGCACGACGGCGCCGGCGCGCCGCAGCCGGGCCACCACGCCGGCGTCGCGCCTGGCGACCGCGCCGAGCAGCGACAGCGACCCGGCCGTCGTGTTGAGCCGGTCGCGCGTCGCGATGATGTCCTTGAGGAGGACGGGCACGCCGTGGAGCGGGCCGCAACGGTGGCCGGTGGCGCGCTCGGCGTCGGCGCGCGCCGCCTGGGCGAGCGCGTCGGGGTTGACCTCGATGACGGCGTGGAGGAGCGTGTTGAGGCGGGCGATGCGGTCGAGGTAGAAGCGGACGAGCGCCGTGGAGGTGAGGCTGCCGTTGCTGAAGCCGAGCTGGATGGCGTCGACGGTGGCCTCATGGAACTCGAAGCCGAGCGAGCCGCCGCCGGCGAGCGCGACAGCTGCGACGACGACGACGACGAGCGCGGGCTGCCGAGCCATGGCGTTCAAACTGGATAGTTTTTCCGGTCAGACGTGCACTGCTGTCTTTAACAATACGGCAGCAGCAGAACATAGTGAGAAAGTCTGGTTTGCTTCTTAACGGTTGCGTTCATCCTATTTGCACACCTAAACTTTCATTTGCATGCAAACTTTTTCTTAAAAACTTTTCAAACGCAGATGTTGCATGCTGTGAGTACTGTAACTTTCATATGGTTAAAATCAAATGGTCAAGAGCATTTTTTTTTAGTGAGAATTGTTATTAGCTTTGCTTGTAAAAACTTTGTAAGGTATTTTTGTAAAATATGTAGTGCAACTTCATATATAGTGTGTAAACCTGAAAATTATTGTTGGATACAAAATGGAAGCCTGATATTTATCTACGTCATCATGAGTAAAACTACGGTGACGTAGATAAATCTTAGTCATCCTTTAACGATAGTTTCCTCGTACATTTGCACTGCATATATATAGAGTTTACACTATATGTTTTTAATTTTTTTTAAGTATGGATAGCAATACTCAAACTTTAATATTGGATATGTTACACGTCAAACATTTTAAACTAATCGTATTCTTCCTTTAAGTCGATCATGAGGCAATTTTACATATTTTCATTATTTATACTGAAAACATTACCTAAGTTATAAAATGATTCTTGTGTGCTTTCTTAGGTTCACTTGGTAAGCTGAAAATGAATCTTAAAGCAAATGGGAGGAATGCAAAAGGTGAAAAATTGAGAAACAAACATTCCACCTCAGGTGGCGATTGGATGGATGGTTGGATTAGGGAGGAGATATCAACACTGACAACACATACTACACAATACCCCGCGCATTGCAGCGGGTATTTTTAGATGTATTTGCAAAAAAAAAACACAGTGAAAGAACATGATGTTATTTTAAAGTGATATCGTATGATTTCTACTTGAGAAATATAAAAGTTAACTGAATTGATTGATACCTGAGGGAATAATTACAGCATATGTCTTGTAGGTTGAGGACGATATCAACATGTCCCTGTGTTTCATGAACGCACTCAACTGTTTGTTGAAGATATTGATGTTTCTGCATCAAGTATATATAGTATAAGAACCGGGTGCAGCTAGTATTTGCTTTTTTTAAAAAAAAAAAAGAATTGGGTGCGATATATACAATAGCTACAACAATGTTGCAAAATCTGGCATAATAGAGTAAATTCCCTGTACTCTTAAAAATTCATGCAATCTCTCTCGTACCTCTAAAATTTACACGATCCTTTCTATACACCCGAAATTTCTACTTGATCCCTGTCTAGGGTCTATCTGATACCATTTGTGTGACATCCCAGCCTAATTAGGATATAGCTTGTGTGGCCCATGAGAGCTGTGTGTGCATGTTTCGTACCACCTTACTAGTTTAGCAAGGGTGGAACTAACTTATAAGGGTTTGTTCTCCCAACCATATCGCTACTGGGTTAACCTTTTTACACAAAGCGTAGAAGAAAGTGTAAGTGGAGTGATGTGTAAGTTGGCTCGTCCGTCGGATGTGCTGGGCTACGTGGTTCTGAAGAGTGGTTGTTACAAATGATATCACAGCCGACCCTCGCAGTTGCACGTACGTGTCAATGTGCGGGCATATGGTGCATGTCACATGTGGACTCTGTGTGAGGCACATGGCATGGCATATGGCGCCAACACTGGATGTACGGACGTGCGCTAAGAGGGGTTTTGTTCCTGGGATTTGCCTATGCTTGTGTGGGTGAGTTGGACCGACGGGGACGTCAGGTCCTTTGAGGGATCGTGTGATATCCCGGCTGTTGACGGTCATTAGCGATCAATTTCGACCGTCAATATTAACAAAATAGAGGAGAACTAGTCATTCTTGCAATGCATATTTTGTATTAAAATAATAATAATCCACTAGTATTAGGTTTACTAACCTTTTGCAGAGAATAACCATAAAGTGGAGAAGAATTGACATCAAATCAAACGATCAATCAATCGGACGATGTCGAGAATCAGACTTATGTATAAAATGGGCCAAGAACTAAGAATTGACAAGATGAATTGGGCCAAAATTCACAAGTCTGCAACAAGGATCAGGAGAAGAGGCCGCCAGCCAAACCATGGGCTGGTTGGGCCGACCCCTGGTTCGGTCGAACCTCAGGTTCGTCCGAACCCCCCTCACGGCCGGGAACCCCACCGATTTTAGGGAATTTTATGATGTGGTCCATCACAAATGTTATACATGTTGCATGCTAAACTGTATGGATTATGATGAGAACCATAATCACGCCACACATGTAGAATTTACCGTGAATCTCACATGTCAATAGGACCGTTGATGAGGGTGCACAGTATGGACGACAAAACACGCCCCTAATTTTTTTAAAAAAAAATTAATCCATTCCGATACGTTCCAATGTGTTTAAAAGCCTCTTGCTCTATTTTTTTTTTTAAAAAAAACCACTCTTAGTTTTTATTGATTTGGCTAGAACATGTTTTTTTCTTTTCTTTAGCTTATATAAGTGTTCGATAATTATAATGGTCGCCTCAAATAGCTATGGCTCATAACGATGATATACGTGTGTTGTAGGTATTAAAGATTTTGTTTTTCTGCTTATCAACAAATAAATGACATAATCAATTTTTTCAACCTTCATTTAAAAAAAATATTCTTCCGACTTTGGAAGAGTGTCACCACTAATTCATTTTTTTTGTTTCTTGGTATTTTCTAAATATAGGACATCAATTTGTGTTTCGCGTAGGGGCGTCGAATTGCCCTGTATGTGAATGCTAAAGCGTATTTATAGAATTTACTTTGTACTTTCCACACATAAATCTTAGCAAATTTACTATATCCATATTGTTATAGTAGGAAATTGAAGTTTTTTTGGGATTCAACTGTATCGTGCCTTGCTTTTGTTCTTGATTTTGTTCTCTAACTTAGCCAACAGCTAGGTGAGGTGGGGGGACTGGATAGTAAAGAGGATAAGAAAGAAGGATGAAAACGAAAAAATGAAAGACTATTCCATAGGGATGTGGAAGGACCTTCCTGCAATAGAAGTTTCTCGATGAGAACTTTATGATATTTTCCGCAGATGATGTAACAAATAAAGGATCATCCTTTCACTTATTTAGATATTCTAAGGTGGTTCGTTAAAGTGGTTTTTATATCATTTATATATGCATTAGATGAGTTTATCGATGTGACATGTATTGAACATATATGTTAAAATCTTCACCTAAATCTTTTTTACCCATTTTTTATCTCCCACTTACAAATGAATGTCGATATAATATATTAGTACAACATTACTAGAGATTATAGATTGATGACCAGCTATTGATGATTGATGATATGTAAATATGTGATACTGGCTATTCAAACCACTTTTTCCAATTATACAAAATCACCATCCAAAACCATCAAAAGGTGTAATATAAACAGTATTGCAAAGTTTGGAAGCTTGATGTCTAGTTTCAAAATTGGGGGTGCTAGATGGATTTCTATCCAAAGTTTAGGGGTATATGAACTTTTTACTAAATTCAATAAATCCTGGAAGTAATTTATATAAATCCTAAAAGTAACTTAACACAAATAAAAGTAAGTTTTTACGGAATTAAAAGTAAATCCGTTGTGTGGGGTTAAGGGTAAAAACATAAGTCTATCTAGAAATTAAATTTAATCATCGTCAATTATAGAGCTAACTAAAATTAACAATAAAAGTAAAAAACTAACAATATGAGAAGTAATTTAATTAAATTTAAAAGTAATTTACATATATGATAAAAATTAATTTACATATACAATAAAAGTAATTTAAAACATATTTTCTCTCGGAATATAATCATGTAAAATTTAATTATAACATTGGATAATAGACCTGATAAGTAATTTAAAAGAAAATTTTAATTATAACATTGGATAATAGACCTGATAAGTAATTTAAAAGAAAATTTTATTTGAAGGTTAGCTATTAGAAATCTTTTCCTTACGGTTGCATCCTTGCATACTCGAAATGTATACTGTTTTTTGCCATTTGTTAGAATGATAGTTGGTTAAGACTAATTAGTCATGTCTCTTTTTTTTTTTCATTCAACCAAACGAAACAAGGGTATCAAAATATTTCCACCCCTTTTTTACCTTTTTTCCTCATCAGCCAAACGCTACCGCGGTGTTAAGAAAAAACAAACAAACGCCACCTCAGTGATGAGTCAGAAACAGTGAGACGCTCTAACTCGCAACTCTCCTCTCTTCTTCTTGCCTTCGCATATGCCCAGGCTCGTGGGTTTAGAATTTGAAGTCAGTTTATTCGCTTATATAATTTATAAACCGGTAAATTTAATATCCTAAATTTAATAGCGAAGTTATGTATCTATCTTATATAAGTTAAAAAAAATAAAAGTTTCTCCAATCTAGTTTTTGGCTTAATAATATTAGAGTGGTTTATGACTTAAAAAACCAAACGAAAAAGCCACTTATTTATTTAGGCTTAAACTTTTCGGCCTGTAAGAACCTTACTACCAGTGGTCTTTCCCCGTGAAGAGGAGGAAGGTGAGGTCGCCGGGCGCCCACCATTGCCGTCGCGTGGCGAGGCATGAAGATCCTAGTGGCGGTGAAGCGGGTGGTGGACTACGCCGTCAAGGTGCGGGTGAGGCCCGACCGGACGGGCGTCGAGACGGCGAGCGTCAAGATGTCCATGAACCCATTCTGCGAGATCGCCGTCGAGGAGGCGCTCCGCCTCCGCGAGTCCGGCGCCGCCACCGAGGTCGTCGCCGCCACCGTCGGCCCCTCCCAGTCCGCCGACACCCTCCGCACCGCGCTCGCCATGGGCGCCGACCGCGCCGTCCACGTCCTCCACGACCCCGACCCCTCCCGCCCCCTCCTCCCCCTCGCCGTCGCCAAGATCCTCCGCGCCCTCGCGCTCCAGGAGAACCCCGGCCTCGTCATCCTCGGCAAGCAGGTAGGCGCGCCCAATCTTCGATTTGACCGATTTTGTGGTATAGAGATTGAATTTACTTGATTTCACTGATAAATTCGTGGGATTGTAGGTAGGTGATGTTCCTGCATGATTACCTAGTTGTGGTGATTCTTTTTTGCTTCACAGTGTGATTATCCAAGGATTTTCTTAATGGGAAGAGTTCATGGGATTTCAGGATTATTATATATTTCTTGCCTCATTACATATCTTTTATGTTTTATTGCATTAGGGATTAGGGATTCTTGTTAGCTTGTTGAGACTGGGATTGGGGTATCTCAATTTGATCGAGAGCTTTCATTCTTAATGCGAAGAGTTCATGGGATTTCAGGATTATTATATACTTCTTGCCTCATTACATATCTTGTTATGTTTTATTGCATTAGGGATTAGGGATTCTTGTTAGCTTGTTGAGACTGGGATTGGGGTATCTCAATTTGATCGAGAGCTTTCATTCTTAATGTTCTTATAATGTTCTTAATGCGAAGAGTTCATGGGATTTCAGGATTATTATATACTTCTTGCCTCATTACATATCTTGTTATGTTTTATTGCATTAGGGATTCTTGTTAGCTTGTTGAGACTGGGATTGGGTATCTCAATTTGATCGAGAGCTTTCATTTTTGCAGCATAATTAATTGTGTGCTTGTGATTACATTTTGACGGCTTCATCTAATCAAGACATATTCCTGTGATTTGGGGGGCATGACTTTTGTGAATATGGAATGATTGACTCTGTATTTGGAGCTTAGTACTTCATTCTTACGATAATAAAGGTTGCTATTTCCCCGCAAAAAAAAAATAATAAAGGTTGCTATTAGTGTGTTTTGGGTTGAATCTTAGTGGTTTACTTCTTGGTTCGTTGAAGCTTGTGTAAATTGACAATGTTGATATCCATGTGATTGTATAGTGCAAATTTAGTTACCAATATGCACTATGGTACCAACAGTGAGATCCCATCTCAAAAAATAAAGTGAGATCTGAGAGAACCATGGTTGTGTTAATGCAAGCCATTTGCTGATTTTGCTTCTACCTTAATTTAATTTATTGCCCTAAAGTGAGGTATAGTATTATTCTGAGACACTAGGGTGCATCTCTATACAGTGTACTTGTGTTCAACATCCATGAAATTGGCAAATTGCTCCTACACATGTCCTCGTAGTGCTTGACTTTGTTGACCCTGTTTAATATGAAAGTTCAAAGTGTAGAATTGGTGCATTTTCCCCCCTTTAGACCTAATGCTCCTGGATTATTTCATGACATTGTCTAATTGCTGCATATAAGACTTGAATCCTTAGTACTATTTTATTAAACTTTGACGTCTTGATTTTTTTTCAAAATGTTGACAGTCTTTGCTGTCATGAGCAAATGAGTACGTACAAAAGACAAATAAGAAAATATTAGCTAACTAGTGATAGGAAATTTAACTTGAAATTATATATATTGATAATCATCAGGTATTATATCTTCTGGTAATTGCAGGCAATTGATGATGATTGCAACCAAACAGGACAAATGCTAGCTGGGTTGCTTAATTGGCCACAAGGAACCTTTGCCTCAAAGGTGTGTTTTTTGTTACTCCTTCCATTGCTTTTTACTGCTGTCATGATTGCCCTCGCATGCAAGTGGGGCGCCAAGAGCATGGCACAGCAGGCTGGGCTGGGCTTGTCATTTTAAGTTCATTACTTGAAGATTTGTTCTCCCCTTCTCATCACTTCCCCCCGTGCCTGTTAATCCTCTCCTCAAACACAGCTCCTGGCTGGGGAGATCCAGGGCCAAAACCCCCAGTTACCCAAGGGTTGTCCCATTGATATTTAAACCTAGACAACCATTACCTTTAATTTGATTACCAAATGAGTTCTTAACAATGTATTTGCTCCTTCAATTTTTTTCTGCATTTAAATGATCTGCTCCTAGACCCTAAACCGTATGAAGCTCGTGTTGAACTTTGGTATAGTTTCTCCCACAATTGTGGAATTGGCCACATAGGACCTTACAGTTTTTTTGGTTTGCTCATTTTTGTCCTTCTGCCATGTGGCGTCCCGTGTGGACTTGTCCAGTCAGCGCCTTCTTTCCAATTTAGACTATGCAAGTGACTGAAATGCGTGCTTTGCATCACCTGAAAAAACAAATAATGAACTACATAGGGTCATCCTACATCGATGGTAAGAAAAATTAGGGCAATTCAGTTACTTTATATAGTTTGTAGCATTTGAAGGCCCTGAATATTGCCTGCCCGAACCCTGGATATTGCCTGCCTGAGACCATCTGTGATGTCATAAGAGGCATTACCATTAAAACAAGCCAACTAACGAAGCTCAGGGCGCTAACATACCAATTCACAGTTGAATGACCAATTTGAGCAAGAAGCAAGGGACCAAATGAACTATTAATCTTTCAGATTGTGGAAGGAATTTCTGAGCACTGATGGAAGTTTGCTGTTCCGTTTTTTTAATCCCATTTTAGGAACATTAATTTTTTCTTCTTTCAAGATATCTGATTTCCTTTTGTTGGCCGAACATAGTAGAGCAACCAAAAAAAATCACTGTAATGGCGTTTTCTATGGGTTCACATTGACCAAGTGTTTATTGGTTTTCTCTTATCATGGTGTTTCCAATTCAAGTTTGTGTTACACAGGCAGTTGTATTCAAAGATGCTGTTTGATTCTGGCAGGTTATATTGAACAAGGAAAAGGCTACTGTGGAGAGAGAGGTCGATGGCGGAATCGAGACCATTAGCTTGGATTTGCCTGCAGTTATCACGTATGTTCCATGAAACATTTATTTTCTTTCTTTTAGTTTTATTTAACAAGGCTAGTACTTCGATTCTTCATAAGCATTGCGATCATTTAGTGATCTCTGTCACATAGCTGGATCTTTGTATTGCATTGTGGTTTTGAGCCAATTTCAGAAATTGCCTAAACTATTGTTTGATTTTTGTGACAGCACGGATTTGAGACTGAACCAACCAAGGTATGCAACATTGCCAAACATAATGAAGGCAAAATCAAAAGTCATCAAGAAAGTCACCCCCGAAGATCTGGATGTAGATATCAGATCAGACATGGAAGTAGTTGAGGTCACTGAACCACCTAAGAGAAAAGCCGGTGTCATTCTTTCATCCGTCGATGAGCTCGTTGACAGGTTGAAAAATGAAGCCCGTGTTTTATAACATTCTTTGTACTAATGCTCATGAGCTAAGGAATGTGGCATATGCAAATAAAGTGTAGTTATAAATGGTCATCGTATGCAAATAAAAATGTGGCGTTCCCGTATAGCACCAGTATACCTGCTAATGGTCATCGAAATGCTAGTGTGTGTGTGTGATTTTAAGAAGCCATGTAAGCAGAAGTGTTCACTAAAATCAATCAATCTTTACTCATTCAGAAAAAAAGATAATTCTATTTATAGAAATAAAGATCTAGGCATCTAGCACACGTATGATGTGGTAAAATTAGTTTCGTCTCCACTAGATATGCCTTGAGCTCTACAACTATTTACGTTTCAACCTCGTTGCTGTTGTTTCGTGGGATGTAGTGCTGGCTTGGTAAAGGTAATTTGGTTCAAAGCTGAAATATTTTCAAGTTAATAAATCGAGAGGACAAAAACATTGAGCTAGGAAAGTGTTCATAAATGGGAAGTGTCTGATTTTTCTTTTAACTGAAGGAGCTCATGGGTTGTACTTGGAAGCAGCTTCTCACTAAAGTCAGAGATATAGGTCCAAACAGGAGGGACTCGTCCTCATGGACCCATACATCAAAAACACACATCCCAACTTATATAGGCCGTGTTTATGTCCCCCTTCAAACTTCCGAAAATTTCGTCACATCAAATATTTGAACGTATGCATGGAGTATTAAATGTGGATAAAAAAAACAATTGCACAGTTTACATGTAAATTGCGAGACGAATCTTTAGAGCCTAATTACTCCATGATTTGACAATGTGATGCTATAGTAAACATTTGCTAATGATGAATTAATTAGGCTTAATAAATTCGTCTTGTAGTTTACAGGCGAAAAATGTATAATTTGTTTTATTATTAGTCTACGTTAAACACTTTAAATGTGTATCCGTATACTTAAAAAAATTTTTGCCAAGTAACTAAACACAACCATAGTATATTACATTACATGAGTCTTATCAGGTTGTATTATCAGATCGTACTAAGTACATGAATAAATGGGAGTGACATACAGTTTGAGCCGATCTATACATACTCTCTTCGTCCCAAAAAAAGATAAATCCTGGGTTTCCGTGTCCAACGTTTGACTGTCCGTCTTATATAAAATTTTTTTTATAATTAGTATTTTTATTGTTGTTAGATGATAAAACATGATTAATACTTTATGCGTGACTTATCTTTTTTTTTCATATTTTTTTCAAATAAGACGGTCAAACGTTGGACACGGAAACTCAGGGTTTGTCTTTTTTTTTTGGGACAGAGGGAGTACAAAATATCACTGACCCCCTGGTGGAAGCAGATCGTCTGACGTTAGGCGCACAACGTCAGAGGGACGTCCAGCGTCGATCCATCGTCCGATCGACATCTCACGGTGCTGCTGCTTCCTTCGTTCCGCATCGCACGAGCACGGCGAGGACGGCCCATTCAGCCCATTTACGAGCAACCGCGGAGGGACAAAAACGAACGAGACTGCTCGTCATTCGTCAATCTGCCATCGCGCAAAAAAAAAGAAAAGAAAAGGCAACCCCCGGCATGGCTGCCCACCGCTCCGCTGTGGCTCGCGCCTTTCTCGACGCGGGCGTGAGAGGAGCGGACTGCCGAGGAAGACTGCTTCGACCTCGCCCTCCTCTCCATCCCTCGGCCCCATGTCCTCCCCCACGCGAGAGCTTCCAGGCATTGCCGTCCTCGACAACGACGGCTTCCACAGCGGCGGCGGCGGTCGCGCGAGCGCAACGAATAAGGCGGTCAAACGGGCTCGCGGTCAGCCCATGCCAGTGAAAATGGCCCACAAACATCCTCAATGTCGTGCGCCGCCGTTCGTTGCTCTGTTTCTGGAGGGGAAAAAGGGCGCCATTATACTCGGATGGAGGGAAAAAAAAGACCATTCGGCTGCTGTTCTTACGGCGATGAAGATGGTGAGCGAGCAACAAGAAGCTTTTCTCCACTTGATCGTAAGTCTGCACTAGTTACCTATCTTCTTCTATATCCTTCATTAATAGCTTCTTAGAATTCATCAAACTCCCCTTATTAGGTTGCCCCCCTTGCCATCAAAGAAACATCAGACTAAAGATACAAATCAAGTTCTGCCATCTAACTCGTGAGATGGAAGGAGATAGGTTTGTAATACATCTCCATGCTCGTGTATTCTTTTCCTTTTTGTCATATGTATGCACTAGTCTCATATTTTTTTATAGAGAAATGCTAGTACCATGTTCTGTACCTCACATTGGAATGGAATTCAAAAGTCCAGATGAGGCTTGGATATTTTGGCATCACTATGGAGGTCAAAAAGGCTTTGAGGTCAGGAAAAGGTACACAAACAAAAGACAATCGGATGACAAAGTTACATCATTTAGATATGTTTGTGGAAATGAGGGTCATCGAGGACAAGACAAGAGGGATCATCTAACAAAGTGTCCCTGAGCTGAAACCCGCACTGATTGTCAAGTCCGCATGGGTGTAGTATTGGACAAAAAGACGGAAAAGTATAAAGTGACTAACCTAGTTTTGGAACACAATCACTCCTTGCACTTGCCTGAAACCTTGCACTTTATGGTTTCACAAAGGAAAATTTCAGATTTACAAGCTTTTGAAATTGAAACAGCTGATGATGCAGGAATTGGGCCAAAGGCAGCACAAGAGTTGGCTAGTAGCTAAGTCGGTGGATCACATAGTCTTAGCTATAGCCTTCGTGATCGCAAGAATTATTTGTGGAGCAAGCGGCAAAGAGAGATGGCATATGGTCAGGCAGGTAGCATGCTTATGTATTTCCAGGACAAAATTGCTGAGAACCCATCATTCCAATATGCATTGCAAATGGACAGTGAAGAACAGATAGCAAATATTTTCTGGGCTGATGCTAAGATGATAAGTGACTATGTACATTTTGGGGATGTTGTTAGTTTTGATACTACTTTTGGAACAAACAATGAGAGCAGGCCTTTTGGTGTCTTTGTTGGATTCAATCATTTTAGAGAAACAGTAGTTTTTTGTGCTGCTCTCATGTATGATGAAACATTCGACTCTTTCAAGTGGCTCTTTGAGACTTTTCTAAAAGCACATAATGGGAAGCATCCCAAAACAATATATACAGATCAAGATATAGCAATGGGAAAGGCCATTGAGGAAGTATTTCCTGCAGCATGGCATGGATTGTGCACCTTCCATATTTCACAAAATGCTGCAAAACATCTATCGCAAGGGAATAATGGAGAATCAAGTATTCTTTCAGATTTAAGCGCATGCATGTATGAGTATGAGGATGTGACAAAATTTGAATATGAATTTAACATCATGAGGGAAAAGGTGAGCAAGCAAACTTGGCTAGATAGTATATACAAGTTGAAAGAAAAATGGGCTAAATCTTATATGAGGAATGTTTTCACATTGGGAATGAGAAGTACGCAATTGAGTGAGAGTTTCAACAATGACCTGAAAATTCATTTCAAATCTGATTTTGATATCATTCGTTTTTTCAAGCATTTTGAAAGAGTGGTGCAAGGAAAAAGAAATACGGAACTAGCTTCCGAATTTGATTCAAGGAAAAAATTGCCTAGAATCAAAATGAGGGCACCTATGCTGCTGCAAGCTAGCAAGGTGTACACCCCTATTATATTTGAAGCTTTTCAAGGGGAATATGAGAGATCAATGGCAGCATGCACTAAAGCATTGGATGGCGATAATGAATTTCTAGTATCAATTAGGAGTTTTGAGGGAGATCTAACATTTGAGGAGGAGTACAGAGTTGTTGGTGATCCTTCAGAGCAGACATCTATTTGCAGCTGTGGGCAATTTAATAGGATTGGAATATTGTGTGGGCATGCTCTAAAGGTTCTTGATTTGATGAACATCGAGTCACTTCCAGCACAATATATATTAAAGCGATGGACACGGGAAGCAAGGAGTGGAATAGTAACGGACAGCAAGGGAATAAATATAATTGAGAACCCAATGATGGAAGCTTCCCTTCGCTACAAATTTCTATCCCACAGGTTTCTCACTTTGGCCCAACAAGCTGCTAGCTATCCTGAGTGCACATTGTTAGTAAATAATACACTTGACATTCTTAGCAAGCAAATTGAAGAGCACCTCAGTGGATGTGCTAGTACTTCAGATCAAAGTGCAACCCACAAGGAGGTTATGCCCCCAAATAACTTGTTGAGTAATGCACGCCTAAAGAAAAAGGAGGTTCGTGTTAGAGGTTCAAAGCGAAAAAGAATTTGGCTTGACAAAAAACGAGACACTACACAAAAACGACAAAGTAAAAAAGGGTAAAAGTCCAAAGGTATGTTCTAAGAAGATATTGCAATACCATGTTACTATTCAGTCATGTGTTCACTTCATCCTTTTACATTATTTGGTTCGAAGGAACAAAAGACTAGGCAAAATGCACTCCATGTTGGTGCAGCAACACAAGTGGCAGAAGATAGTTTTGCTATGGACAAGGAGGAGCCTGGAGAATACATGCACCTAAATAGCTTCACTCAGCTTTTGACGGTAATACATGCACCTAAATAGCTATGAAAATATATAATAAAACAACCAATGATTAATCTTTTTCTTTGTAGGGGCAGATAAATGATGATCTTTTAGTTGACGATGCATTTTAGTGATGAAGTCATGTTCTGGAGGATAACCCAAGTTTGGTTGCAATACTGTGATAATACAAGTATGATGGAGCTGGGGAAAAAACATGAGAACTTTTGTGTCTATGGTTAATTTTGTTTTGGCAGATCCTAGTGAAGCACTTCTGTTCTGTTTTGGGGTTATCCTATCCAAGACATACTCTTATATTGGCAGCACTCAATGATGTATATATGTCTAGCTTTCATTTGCTATCTTGAAAGCAAAACTTTAGGGACAAAATATGTTCAGTCATTAGATGTCCAATGCAGCAACAAGTATCACATTTTAATGTTCAGTGTTCACTGTCCAAGACTTTCTGCCATTGCTATCTGAAACTCTCAATCTGATTTTGTCACAAATAAAATGACCCAATTAACTTCTTCACATTCTCAAATGCTCACAAAAATCAGAGTATCAAATTGACATTATTATCACATTCAATACTGAATCACAGTTTCAATTGACATCGATTTTCAATCTCAATTCAGATATTCCCAAATTCTAAAACAGAGATTTTCGCCCTCTTCAGAAAGCTATGGTGGTGCTGCCATGCTTGTCGCCTCCTTCCCATGCCTGTCCGGGCTTGGCAGCAACGGTCGCCCTT